GTCGATTTTTTTTTACACTAATGACAGAATCAAATGACGTTCACGATTGCTGACTTCGAGACCCAATTAATTGTGAGAGGTACTTGTTAATTTTGTGATTATGGTTTTAATATGTGTAAATAATATCACCTTTTAGCAGATATAAATCTGTGTAAAATAACCTCGGGGATTATCACCCCTCAGTAAATTCTATTGTCTTGTAATTTAACAGGGAGTTCATGTCCGTCAAAAATGGTGACATTCGAGACTTTAATTAATTAACTCCAATTAAGTTGACAGGTTGACACGGTCATCATTGTTCCAGAGATCAGCCATGACTTCCCTCATTACATCAAACATTGAAAATTAATTCACTGCTGTTCACTTCAGGAAAAATGAACCCCCAAAACTGAACATTATCTAATGGTCCATATTTTGAGGAACCTGCCACATGCAATTACACATACTGTATGAGGCCAAACCACGGTGGTTGTGTACATGTATGTATTACGCATGTCCAATGTATATTAGACTCACGTTGCAGCCGTTCATCGGTAAGCTATATCAACAGTAAAAGCACTGCCAACTTTTGTGAATTGCAGTAGTCAAGCAGTTACAGCATAATGGTTTGTGATGAGTGGGGTGTGGGTTTTCACATGTGGAGTTTTTATGGTTGGTTGAGCATCATACTGTGTACATGACATGCATTGTGCAATTGGCTTCATACTTGTGATTGCATATATATATACATGTAGCTCGTCAACAGGGGATCCGGACAACTCGACCATTTGTCAACTCGACTCCGGACAACTCGACCGTTGAGACAACTTGACCATCTGTGCGTAAAAGGGAGAGATAAGTCGAACGTTGGGACACTGTCCGCTCAGCCCATTCGTCTGCTGAGGCCACTCTGTGAAATACTATACATGTATGCCTTAATGATGGGATGGAATTTCATGTAGTCTATGTAGACAAGCCTAACTTCTGAGGTATTTATAAAAATAGTGGCTGTAGTAAGTCAACCTTTGCACAATCAACCGATCTGGCACCCGCACTGCACGTGTATGGCCCGTATGCATTAGTCGTTTTACTAGTTTCCTAGTTGAAATAAAAATCTACCTCCTTGGTGTTGTCCTTCAGTTCTGCATTCTCGGACAGGTTTTGGTTTAAAGTGAAATGAAAACTTCTTGTTGAAAAAAACTTGCTCTCTTTGGCCAGAAATCTGATTTGCACTTTGACATTTAGGAACGGTAAGGGGAAAAATGACGAATAGTCTAGGGCGATATATGTCACTCACTGCGAGTGATCCCAAATCCTTTTTTCATACTCAACAGTCATATAAACTCTTGAATCTAATGTAAGTTTAATTAGAATGACTTTCAAAGTTGCATTTTATCAAAACTGGCCGAAAACTGAATTCGTACTGTTTCCTAGTTTTTGGGATCCCAGTGCATGCACGCAATATACTTTGCAATATACTAAAATGCTTCTAAGGAAGTCTAATTGCTGATGAGGGAGGCAGGGTTTTTTGGTTAGGTTTTGTTACAAAGACAGTCTCTCTGGTTTTGTCACGACTCGTCCAGAACGTGTGACATATGGTTGTTCCTTGCTGGAGCTCGGCTGTTGGGGTTTGGTATGTGAATGTTTGTCACTGGAATTTTGCAGGACAGTTGGGTTTCCAGCGGAGGTGATTGATCTGGTCTGGGTGGGGGCTGTCTTCTACGAAGTTGACACGTTTGGCAAGTGTGGTGTCTCGAAGTTGGCGGCAGTTTCTGCGGAGAATCCCACCACTCAGTGTGGAGATCAGGTAGGACCGTAGCTCTTGACATTGTTGCTCAACTGTTGCGGGTGTCCAGAGACCGGTGACGTGGTTCTGTGCTCGAACAGCTTGTCCAGGTACCAGTGGTGATAAGTCATGCGTGTGTCTGTCGTAGTAGGCTTTTTGTATGTCTTTGCCGTTGTTTTAGGCGATCATGGATACCGTCCCTTTGAGCTGACGTGTTGCGGATGCGAACTGGTAGGTTTGTCTGAACTTTCCTACCATAGCTCAGTAGGGCTTGGGATGACGCTGTCAACCGGTGTCGTGCGAAGACAGAGAAGTGCCATGTATGCATCTTGCCCACTGGTTTTGGCCTTTTTGAGTGTGTTTTTCACTGTCTGGATTGTTCGCTCAATGAATCCATTTGATTGTGGGTAGTGTGGTGACGAGGTAACATGCAATTCCCAAGGCAGAGGCAAAATGTCACTGACTAGCTTCGCCGGTATGCCATGCTCTAATATCTGCTTGGTGGCAGTCACGACAGTCTGACTGGTACACGGCATGGGCAGCTTGCGAATGAGGGGAAATTCAGAGTAGTGGTCGGCGACTATTAGTTGTTTCCATGAAAATGGAACAGATTAGTGTCCAGGTCCTGCCAAGATCTTGTCGGAATCTTGTGTTGAATGACAGTCTCTCTTGGCTGTTTGCCCTGGTGATCTTGGCAGGTTGGGCATTGTCTTACAAGTTCCTCAATGTGCTTACTGATGTCTCTCCAACAGACACAGTCCTTTGCCCTCAGCTTGGTTTTCTCCATGCCCTGGTGGCTCTCATGCAACTTGGTCAAAACATATTGTCGCATGCTGGAGGGGATACAGACGCGTTCCCCCTTGAGTTCAACGACATTTTCAATTGAGAGTTCATTACGAAAAGACAAGTATGGCCGGAGCTGCTTTGGTAGGTCCTTCAGTTTTTTGGCCAGCCACTGACGGTGAGCACTATCAGCTTTAGCATTGTGTCATTGTTTGCTGTCTCGAGCGTGAGTTGGTTAATGCATTCGTTGGAGAACTGCACGAACTGGATCTGCAGGTCTGGATTGACGTGCGTGTTTGTGGGACTGGGGCGGCGAGACAGGGTATTGGCGATTAGCATGTCCTTTCCTGGATGTACATGTATGTGATCGTAATGTCATATGGTTCAAGGCGCAATAGCATTCACTGTAAGCGGAGTGGCGTTGCGATGAGGGTTTTCTAGTGTATCATTTCCAATGGTTTGTGGTCAATTTCCACTTAAAAAGGCTTGCAATACACGTATGTGCGGAATGCTCAAAGACAAACACTGTGGCCAGTAACTCGCACTCAATGTTTGCGTACCGTTGTTCAGTTCCACTGAGTGATTTATATGCGTATGCAATGGGTTTGTCTTGAATGAGAACCGCACCTGGACTGCGTGAGGAGGCGTCGACCTGGATTACCTTGTTTGTGTTAAAGAATGTGAGTGTTGTTTCCTCGCAAACAAAATCCTTGACCTTGTTGTAGGCTTGCTGATGGGAGGCGGTCCAAATAAATTCTGTGTCTTTCTTCAGCAGTGCGCAAAGGTCAGACAATCCTGGAATGAAAGGACTCAGGTACATGACCATCCCAGGATTTCCTGCAGCTCTGCCTTTGTCTGGGGGTTCCATGCATTTGATGGCGCTCACCTTGCTTGGGTCTGGGTGGACAACATGTTGATCGTAGACCATTCTGAAGAAAGTAATTGGTGGTGTTTTCACAGCGCATTTTTGGCTGTTGAATGCAAGTCCATCTGTGGCTGCAACCGCATCTCACTGGTCGAGTTTGCTCTCTGTCAAAGTCAAGTTGTCTTAACGGGCGACTTGGCAAATGGTTGAGTTGTCTAAACGGTCAAGTTCTCCGAAGTCGAGTTGGCAAATGGTTGAGTTGTAAGACATCCATAAACAGGCCTGACGAATACAGGAAAATTCGTCTGGCCCTGTTTATGGGTCTAGACCTAGCCCGGGTTGGACATTGTCTTCATTTCATTACAACTAACGTCTAGGGTACAAAACGACCACAAATTTGGTTCTAATTTGTTCTTGGTTTACCTTGTTGAAGAAACTAATTTTTCACGTTTACAAGTTCTTTGTGGCCTTATCTATCCATCTGGTAGGTTTAGGAATGTCAAAATGAACCTTGGACTGCAAAATTGAAGAAAATAAGTGAGAGACAACGTTACTTTTGTAGACCTAATTCATCCGTTCTCGAGTATAATTGTAAAGTGCACGCACGTACAGTGCAGGAATCCGAGCAGTGTGCACGCAAGAGATTGTTAATCACCGTTTTTGACTCTCATATCAGTCTAGTTTATTAAAAAAAATTCATCTAGCCAGCGATTTCTGGAAAAGTTCTCCATTTTTAACAAAATATATTCGGTATAACTTTTAAAATGGAACAAATCAACAGATATTAGTAAAATGCTAGTAACAGAAATGTGCCAAAGCCTTGCTGGATATTAATACCCTCTTCCCTCAACACGGAACTGCTGGGTCCCTTAACTTCCATCGAATTTTGTGGACACCTTTTGTCTATTTTAAATCCGCCTTTTAACACATAATACATGCTCAAAAATGACCAGGATTTGTACAAATCATGAATTTTAACTTTACCGTACTGGCCGTAGTAGATTCAGTTTGCGTGCAGGTAACTATATAGGCCAACTGTAACCAACGCACGACACAGCCTCGCCCTCAGCCCGATGTTGTGTAAACTCGGCATGGAGATCAACGGACGGCGTGGCTAAGAACCACTGTGCCATTGTGCGGTGAGCATTTTCGAAACCAGTGGATTTGTTCAGACTTCAGTTTCGCTGGTTCCAGTCAGACCATGTAGTTTCGATGTGCGTGTACGAGGCTCGGAATCTCATACACCGAATAGTTGCGCGCGCACACTTTACGAACTGCACTGGTGAACGGCTGAAAACAGTCCACAACGATGGGAACAATTAACATTACGTCCGACTTTATTTTCCCGTTTTTGTCTTTGGTTGTGATGTGTCAAATTTCTTAATCCACCAGACATGCTTGATGTGGAGATAAGGACGCAAGAAGTTACAGGTGTGAAATTGGCTCCTTGGAAAAGGAAGAAGTGTTACAAAATTTTTAGTAGTACGGTGAGGGAGTCCACCTGGACTAGCTCTAGCCCCTACCTAGGCTTTAGAGACCTAGCGTTAGGCCTACCACTGGAGGTAGGAAACTACCTCCATGGCCTACCTGATATTGTCGTTCACGCTGCACAAGTTATGCTGAAGATGAGTGATAAAATGCTTGACTTTCCCATCAAAAGAAACGTCGTCATCTTTACCACACATGACCCCTTCGTGTAAGCAAGAAAAAGTTTTGTTCACGTTCTCCCTCAGCTTTTGCACCAAGAAGATGCTCAGCATAAGTAGTTTAGAATTTTCACTTTCGCCTGCCATTCCACCAGCGCTAGTGCTTGTTGCTGTATGCAGCTAGCTAGCTATAGCTAGCTAGCTACTGACCAAAGATTGTATAGCGCCGCGTTTCAGAGGAGAGTTGCCCATCTTGCGCCGCTGCGCGGCGCTATACAATCTTTGCGACTGACTGCATAACATGGGTGCAGTGTCCCAATGCAAGGAAAATTCTCCACCAGACTGAGGGCCGCACAGAAGGCTACACAGGAAAATGATGTTCCACATGTCCTCTTTCATTTTCCTTTCAATTTTCCGGGGGGTTGACCAATGAATTTTTGAGAAATATTCACCAGGAGCAGACCACCCATAAAATGCAGAAAATGTCCCTGTCCAGAAAAGTAGCCATTTTGAAAAACCCTCCCTCGGCAAAATGGTTCAAATAGTGCCACTTTCAAACCCGACTGCATCCAAATTGCTCAGAATTGGAAGCCCCGAGTCTGGCCCACAGGTCCAGTCTCATATTCTTCAATTCGTCAGTTCCATGGCTCTCAGAGCCCTCTAATATAGAATATTTTTGAGTCTATAACTTTTATTAATGAGCTCGGCGGACATATTTCTGGCCTAATTACGAGGGTGCACCCCGGAATGCACCACCACTATGGCTACCGACCACCGCCCCCTCGACCGCACCAACGCCTCAGAAACCGCCACTGACAGTCACCCTGAACTCTGTCAAGCCATGACAGAGCAGTAGCCCAGAAACATTCCCAAAACCTAACCCACCAGCTCCACCACAGCCTGTGCACGCAAGCGGAAGGATCCGTAAAGTGCCAAGCTATTTGTAAGACTATGTCTGTCATTGAACAATTGAGGACTGATTTAATATTCAAAGGCATTTTTTTTGCTCTAAGACAATACAGCCAATATCTTGTCATTAGTTCTGAGACAAAAGATCATTTGCTTTCTGGTTTATATTTCTCAAGTACATGTAGTAAGAAGTGCGTAGTACATGGAGTGTACACTAACAACTGTTTTCATTTGTTTTTAAAAAAGAAGAAAAAGCTGCATTTTTTTTTCTTACAAAGGAACAACACATTTTGGCAATGTCTAGTTGTACTTCCTCACTGGCAAATTTAAGTGGCAACAATGCAAACATCCTTATGTTTTATTTTTGTCCTCCTACGCTTTGCTCAAAAGTACAGGAAAGCTCAGACTTTGAAACTTGCATTCAGTTTGAGATCTTGAAATTAACATTAAGTTTGTATTTAATAAAAAAGGAGGATGTTGAGTAGAAATGGTACGCCCTCTGCCGCCAGGATTCTGACAGTCTGAGAAATAAAAGCTCTCTCCAGCGAATTCAAGTACCTTCCAAATTTTGGCGTATCTAAAGGATGTAAATCCCTCGCTGGGTCACGTAACAGAAGGGCTGATGGCTTTTAGTACATTATGTTGTGTAATCGAGCTGGAGTTCTGTGTCAAAATGGATTTGATTGGCTAACTTTGTTAATTTTGGGGTGCTGATTTAAAAAAAAAGTGAGGTTCCATTTTTAGGGGGCCACGTCTTCGGTCGCCATTTTGAATTTCAAAATGGCCGCCACTGTTCATAAGGTACAGTACACTAATTCAAGACCCATTGAAAACAGTGTAAAATCAGCACTTTTCAGGGCCCAATAACATGCATACTCACATCCTTGAGATTTCTGAAACACAAATGAAATTATTGTCTTGTCCCTAATCTTTAAATTTCTTTTCATTTTTTTTTTGTGGGTTAACCAATTACATTTTTAAGTACTCCCACAAAACAAAATTACCCACAGAAAAGTGATTTTTCCGAAGTCTGATTCCAGCCATTTTACAAGTGGCAACCCTTAACTTTCTGAGGCACTTAGGACCATTTTTCAACCTTAGTTTTTAGCCATTCTGCTCTCATATAAACGCTCAAAGACCCAGGGAGTTGATCCTGGCAAGGATTTACACAATCTCACCATTTTGGGGGCAAAACAATCTCCTTATTCAAAAGATACTGTTGGGGGGAATTTTTAATGCCCATGAGCTGGCCAGAAATTCTCACTTGAATTAGTGATGGGTGCACCGCAGCAAGCAATCCCCATAGACAGCAGTGACAAATCCCCATACTTATATTTAAAACAGTACAACTCTCACAACTCAACTCTGACCTCTTTCGTTTTCCTTTAAATTTTTAGTGGGTTGACCGATGAATTTTCGAGAAATCCTCACCCAAAGTAGACCACCCCAAAAATGACGGTAATGTCACTGCCCGGAAAAGAAGCCCTTTTGAAAATGCATCCCTTTGCAAAACAGCTAAAATATTGCCACTTTCGGTCAGGATTGCATACAAAGTGCTCAGAATTGGAAGGTTCAGAGGTTCAGTGCCATATTTCTTCAGTTGCCCAGTTCCATGGCTCTCAGGACCCTCTAATATAGAATATTTTGAGCACATAACGTTTATTTATAAGCTCGGTGCACATATTTCTGGCCTACTTACCTGGGTGCTCCTTTATGTTTTCAACCGATGAATAGAAGAATGGTGGACATTTTGTAATCTACCATGCTGGTGATGTTGAAATTGTGCATCGCAGGTCTGCGGTGATGTGCGCACTCACCAGAACCAGAGACTATTTTTGCCAATAGTACAGTGAATAAGCTCCCATAGACAACAGTGATAAATATTAGCTCATTGTGAGCAAAGTGAAACCATAAGCTTTACTATCAGCTGCTATCCGCTCTGAGTGGGAACAAAAGAGGGCGTGTTTTAAAAGAAATTGACAGTCCTTTGGTTTTCACTCTAAAACTGTAACTGCTTCTAATTGTCTCCTCTCGACAGGTTTCTTCAGGCTTGCGAGCTACAGTGTCTAGAGCACTTTTGAGGAATCCTCGGGTGTCATTTCTCAAGGCGATGGCGTTTCGAAGGAGTAAAACGAGAAATTGGCGGATATTGTGAAAGGTGCGGCTTGATTTGGTGGAGCACGAAAAGCTGGTAAAAGCCGCCATCAATGCCTGGTGAAAGTCCAGAGTTAAAATACGGGAACTTTCGAAGGACGGATATACTCCGTCGTGCCGAAACAGATTAGTATTCTCCCAAACGATCTGGGGATGGGGAATTATACCACCGGCCGCAAAACCGCATTAAAACGACAGTCCAACGATTGATGGCCCGCCTGGCCAGTTCAACTTGTCACTTGGGCGGTTGGCGCCGGGGTAATTAACACGAGGCAACTTCGCCGACCAAAACATGATGGTGTGGGGCAGTAGGGGACGTGTAACTGTCAACACACTCTTAATGATCTCGAAAGTGGCCTGCTTTGGGAGGGTTCCCAGATCGTTTGACCCGACATGAATTAGTATATATTTGGGATTCTTTAACTGCTCAGATTCCCAGCACTGGTGTAAAAAGTCATTGAATTCATCCATGTGGAGGCCCCGTTTCCCCAGCCATCGGATGGTCGCCACGTTGCTGAGGATCGCATGAAGGTATACAGCTTGGCCCAACCAGTGAACGAAGGAGTCACCAACGATCCACACCAACGGCTTGTATACGAGTTGCACCATGAATCGTGAAAGGAAAAGAACACCAAAGAAACATACATGCAATAAATAACAAATGATTAAACGATATAGACCTATCGAAATATAAGCTCGTTATTCAATTCTTTATGACATTACTGAGCAAGGGCTGGGGTTATGCGAATGTAACGCCGATACACACCCGATTGCCAACGACCCATCCTCCTACTTCCTGCTTGGGAATGCCAGCCATCGCCGCTGATGTAGCTGCACCAATGCCAAAAGAAAGGGACGTGAAACGGGAATCGAATATGTCATCGAATGTAAGGGACCGCCCAAAAGCTGTAAATTGAGAGCGAGTCATTGGTGTACCATCAAAATGTGCTAGAAAATGGGTATGGTGCTGGGGGCTGTCACGCAAATATTGCGAGGCGGCATTAACAGGGCACAAGGAAATATCGCAGCATGAAACACGGGGAATGCAGATTACACAACCATTGCCATATTGATCGGTCTTAGAAAAACGGACGTGAATCTCGACTACATCACCAGAAGGGAGATGGCGAAGAGAAAGATCCGAATGTCTTAAAGGTGCATTCGCACTACGCGTCGGTGCAATTAATTCACCAACCCGCATGAAACCCAAAAATGTGTTGAGCCCCAACTATAGCACCAGTCCCAGCTGTAGTCGGGCTCGTCCCAACTATAGTTTGGTTGTGTCAAGTGTCAAACACATTGACTTGGATAATGTTGAGACGTTTTCCACAGACACTGCTTAACAATAGCTGGGCCAGCCGAACTGCAGCACTACAGTTAGTTGGGACTGTCCCAACTATAGTTGGGGCGTAACAAATGCAGGAAGGAAAACGACACGAAACAGCAATGCTTCATACTGACTGGAACAAACTGATTGCAAGGCTGGAATGATACGGCGAAGAATATCGAATGTAATTGGGCGTCGTGTGTCACGGCTATTGTTACGCCGCCGACAACCATCTAACAACCGTTTGAGGTTGGGTGATATTTGACTAACTATATAGACGCAAGGTGGAAGCAATGCCCGGCACATATGACGCTATTGTAGCAGGGGAGTATTGGTTAATGGACAAAAATGCAATAAATTGTACAAGCTGATCTAAGAACGTATGGGAATCAGGAGAAAGATTATGACGTAAAAGGAACCAGCGGGAAAATCGCCAAGCACGTTGGTAAACTGCATGAGTGCGAGGCGAAATAGAATCTACTAAAAGACCCTGAACTTCTAATTGAAGTTGCTCCAAAGGTCTTCTGGCAAGGGAGTAATAGTGGGATCTGCCCCAGACGAAATCCGGTCATCTGAAAGCGGGAGAGAGCATCAGCAATACCGTTATCAAGGCCTGGGACATGACGTGCTTTGAAATGATTATTCAATCTCAGACAACGGAAACAAGCATACGAACCAGATTCATGATCTTTGGACAACGGCAAGTTTGACGATTTATTATGGCTAACATCCTGATTATCAGACCAGAACAACTACCCGCATATTCCGCAACACTGATCCCCACAAACGCAGTGCCAGCACAATGGGGAAAAGCTCAAGAAAAGCAATTGGCAACTGCATGGAACGAACTGCTGAAGGCCATCGTCCGTGTGTCCAAGCGACCCCCAAAGAATGCGCCAACACCTATCTCTGCCGGAGAGCCAGTGTACAAATGCAAATTGTCGCTGGAGTGCCAAATGTTCTCAGGGAATATGACTGAACCGTTAAATGGGTCAAAAAGATCCTCCATGCCAACATGTCAGCTCACGCCCCCGACGAAATACGGACACGGTGGTGTGGTTTTTGAACGCCACTAATCAAATCAAAATCAAGCAAGCGACGCTGAAATGCATGGCCAGGATGTACAGCCTTACAGATAAAATTCAGATAAAAATTCGCCCGATAAAAATTCGCCCGTCGTGCGTCGCCCGTCGTGCAGTCACGGATTGGGGAACAGCGTAAATTGGGCAAAGGCGGGCTCGTATATGGACCAGCAATGCTACCTAATCCTACTTCACGTTCTAGTTTCTCCTGCAACAATGTTTCGTTCTCACGAACAAACGTGAAATTCCGTAAGTTAGAACTAACGCGCGGGCCGGAATAACCCAAGCGAAAACCAAGGGTAAACCCATCTCTAAGTATGTGCGCATCTTGTTTGACTGGATAGGCGACGTGTTCAGAAATGGGAGCATAGGATATTAGCTATTTTTACCGGGGTTGGCAGTGGCTGTTGAGTTGGCTGTAGCCCGTGCGGTGCGAGAGCTACCTAGGCAATTGTTGGCCGCGTGACCAAGCGACATGCATGCGGAGCACTGGTGGGCAAACCGACATTCAGGTCTACAGCGTTGACCTTGGTTCAAGTCGGAACGTATCCTCGTGGCTCGTTGATTGTGCTGAGAGACACGACCAAGCCCGGCGCTGGAGGATCCGTAGACGCGCTGTGGCACAGGCTTTGAGTACGAGTAGGGACGAAAATTAGTTTGAGTTGGGGCACCTACTAATGTCAGCTACAATTCTGCGGCGGTGCTGGCCCAAGAACGCGCACGCATGCGCGCTTGTCTCAGACGGAACTGGACGTCGTAATCAAGCCAGCCAAAACCAATACAACGAAAAAGCGGCCGAACGGATGATGTCGGCGTACTTAAGCAGCTGCCGAGCACGATCTGCATGCCGCATCAAATAATGGACGAAAATACTAGAAAGGCCGATGTCCACTGCTCAATCGATGTGATGCGCATGTTGTGAGCAGTGTGGTGCAGGCGAATCTGCCAAGCTGGTGACTCTTGCGTCCCGACCATGAACACGCAGTCATTTTGATTCACGTGGTTGTTAGTATTCGGCCGTAGCGGGGAGCCAAACGCTACATAATCCCCTTCCAATTTTTTTCTTGTATTGGTTCGGGAACTCCCATGCCCAAATCCTCACATACACTCGTTAGCATGCTTCGTTTGCGGCAACGGTAATACTGCTACTGGCAGTACTGGGACATGGAACTATAGGGATTGACAGTTACAGCTGTGACAGCGAATGCTGGTCAACTCGTACGCTGACCAACTCGTACGCCCCAACTCGTAAGCCGCCCAACTCGGGCGGTTCACACGCGCGTCATGGTCGGAGCATTAACCTCGTACAAGCTTTAGCTGCCGTGCTTTAACCAAATTTACTTTTAGCTGTAAATCAATTAAATGTAAATTACCAGATAAGCTGATTGTTCATTACTTTTTTCTTATTAGGTCGAGACTGATATTTTTAGTTTATGCTTAGATATCCTTAAAGATTGGTAACGTCACTGTAAAAAATGTCCGGAAATTTATGGTGTTCGTAATGGACATTTCCCATTTTACGGGAACAATTCCGTAATTTTACAACTGAAACAGAGCTTCTGTAGAGCTTTGCAGCGCGTACTTAAATTACTCAAATCTTCATTCACACTATTGGGAGGTTTGGGTGAAAGTAGGATCCCCGTTATCAGTCAAGGTAGAGACAGGAATTATTAAGGATGTTTCTAAAACATTAGTTACACTAGGCGTACGAGTTGGTCGGCGTACGAGTTAGTCGGTGTCCGAGTTGGGGGGCGTAAGAGTTGACCTGCTTCGGTGACAACTGGGGGAGGAACTTGTGGGATCAGGTAAACTCGGACCCAGGACCAACTCGGACCCACGACCATCTCGGACCCACAACCAACTCGGACCAACCTCGAGTCGAGTCGGACCCACTGAGTCTTATGGTTGCACTACACCAAATAGGCGCCCGCAGACCGAAATAGCGCCGAATCTTGAACCTTGCGAAGAGGTTGGCCTTAATTTTTTTGCCGGAAATTCAAGATAATTTTTCATCGCTGGAAATTCAAGATTATGGTCAGATCGATCACTTTTCGTTTCAATGTTATGAACTTTTTTTTTGCCTTTTCCCGAAGATACCCCCCTAATATTAGTAAAACTATGCGCTCAGCTCTG